TAAAATTTCATGTACTTCCTTATTGTGCTCAGAAAGCAGTCAATTTTTGATGGGCTGGTTTGGCCAAACTGTTTTCAGGTATTTTAATTGCAATTAAAATCAACGAACATTCCTCCTCATTTTGACTTCTCTTTTTGGCTGGAAATCTATTTATACTACAAGGACAAGGCACGGGCATACAAAAAGCACGGAACAGCATTTAGCAGCCTAACATTAATTGAAGGACAGGGTTCTTACATCCCGCTTTTCTCCACCTCTTAAGGAGTCTCAAAGCGGCTTACAATCGCCTTCCTTTCCTCTCCCCACAACAGGTGCCCACTGCTGAAGTTTAGCCAAAAACATTTTAAAAGGATTTTCGGAACCAAAAGTTGTGGGGTGTGGCTGAGAAGTGAGAGCGTGTGGCCCCGAAATGCCCTACCATAGATACAGGCCTGGACTGGCCTCTATGGCCCCTTCCAAATCTCTGATTCTATGACTCTATGATTCTGTACTACTGTGTAGGGTTTGCTGTAAGTTGGATCCTACTATGTCATTGGGCCTCATTTAATGTGTCATGTTAACAGTTTGCTTTGCTTCGATTCTGTTTTTTAGACTCTCTGGATCATCCGATTTTGTGACTTTGGTCAACTACAGGGTGTGTATGGGGGGGTGGGGAGCCAGTGTACTATGAGTGACAAGACACCTTATACTTCTTTGGAGGTGAACGTAAACCCAAGATATGTCAGCATTAATTCCCAGAGTTGTATGATAGGACTTTGATTTATGACATAATTGTAGATACTAATATTGGCAGATTTCACACACACACACCGGTTCATTTCAGTCTTAACTGAAAGTGGAAAATATCTAAAAAACTCAAAACAGGTGTAAGCAAAAATCAAGGATCCATCAGGTGAGAGCAGCTCTGATTTTGACTTGGCATGTGAGGGAAGGGCGAAGGGATTTAATTTTTCCCTCAGCTTAGTTTTGCTAGGCACAACCAGATTCCCAACTTAAATTTAAAAAAAGGGGGAAAAAGAAATAAGACAGGTTTTTAAAGAACACAGCTCCCCCCCCCCCACAACATAATTATTACAGGGCAGGGAGTCCAGTTTCAACGAGTAAATTGATTAGTTCAAACCAAGTAGGGACTCAAGAGTTAAATCCCTTCCCCTTGGGGATTCTATCCAAATGAGGGAGGCATGCATATGAAATTTAGAAGAAGAAGAGATTGGATTTATACCCCGCCCTTCACTACCCAAAGGAGTCTCAGAGCAGCTTACAAACTCCTTTCCCTTCCTCTCCCCACAACACGCACCCTGTGAGGTAAAAGAAGAAGAGACTGGATTTATTCCCCGCCCTTCACTACCCAAAGGAGTCTCAGAGCAGCTTACAAACTCCTTTCCCTTCCTCTCCCCACAACACGCACCCTGTGAGGTAAAAGAAGAAGAGACTGGATTTATTCCCCGCCCTTCACTACCCAAAGGAGTCTCAGAGCAGCTTACAAACTCCTTTCCCTTCCTCTCCCCACAACACGCACCCTGTGAGGTAGGTGGGGCTGAGAGAGCTCTGACAGAACTATGGCTTGCCCAAGGGCATCCAGCAGGTGCAAGTGGAGGAGAGGGGCATCAAACCCGGTTCTCCCAGATTAGAGTCCACGCACTTGACCACGGCACCACACTTTTACCAAGATGGCTGGAGATCCATGGTCTTCATTACACTTGGTTTGGGCCTCCCAGGTACTCACGGAGACTCTCCCAATGTCTGCCCCCACACTTTCGGGACTTCTCTTATTCTCACTGGTGTGAACTACTGGACCCCAATACCCAATCCCTCACTATTTCTACAGTGATCGTGTGTGTGCACTGGGGAAATTACCGTTTTAATTCTGCATTGTAATTTAGGAAAGGGAAGGTGTGTCGGGCTTAAGAGTTCTTGGAAGTAGTGTTGTATCGTGGAGATGCATCGGGTTTCATTTCTGTTTTCATAACAGTGGATTGTATGTAGGGGTTGTCAGGTCCACCGGCGGGGGATAGAGAGGAGAGAGATTGGATTTATACCCCGCCCTTCACTCCCCAAAGGGGTCTCAGAGCGGCTTACAAACTCCTTTCCTTTCCCCTCCCCACAACAGGCACCCTGTGAGGTAGGTGGGGCTGAGAGAGCTCTTGACAGAAACTGCTCTTTTTCAAGAACAGCTCTGACAGAACTATGGCTTGCCCAAGGTCATCCAGCCAGGTGCAAGTGGAGGAGTGGGGAACCAAACCCGGTTCTCCCAGATTAGAGTCCATCCACTTAACCACTACACCAAACTGGCTCTCCCAGGAGCATCACGGAGGCCAGTCCAATTACAGTGAAGTGTCTACATCACTGCCCACATGACCCAGAAGTGACACTACCACTTCCGGGGCGCCGGAGAAACGCTCTGGTATTTGAGCAAAAGCTCTGTGGTAAATTTGGCATCACTTCTGGGTCATGTGGACAGTTACGTAGACACATCACTGCACGCGGGAGCATTTCCCCTCTTTTTTGTTCATCGGCGGTGGGGAGGTGGGGTCTGGCACCAAGGGATCCCTGTCTCCACTGGGGAGTCTGGCAACCCTAACTGGATGCCTGCCTATTGTTTTCCATGCAGGGAAAGCTACAGATTTTCCTGACCTTTTTTTTCACCAACTGGTATCAAAATATCAGGAAACCTAGTCCACTGTGTCTTCTAAAGGCTCCCTAAGTTTCAAAAGAATTGAACTAAAGGGCCGGCTTTTATAGTCCCTTGAATAAGGTTCCCCCAGCCATCCTGTCTGCATAGTAAAAGAAAGGCGCAGAAATGGCTGGTTTTGGAGCAGTGCTTTACATCGAGCTTCTTCAACGTATACTGAATGAAAGTTACCGATGGTTCTCCCAGAACCACGAAAGCCGGGAAACAACTGCAGAAGGCCACGGTGAGAAATAAAAATATAAATCTGGCAAAACTGGAGAAATCCAGATCATCTCGTCTGCAACAGCACAGTAAATCTCATGATAACGCTCACTTCCCTGAATCATTTCTTTCCAAGTCCATTGATAAGCAAGCCCCTAGTACACAATAGTGTGGTTGAAATTTATTACGATATAAGGACGGATGATGCAATTCTGCTGTGTTTGCATTTGCAAAGCGGTCCTTGAGATGGCCAATCTGAAGAGAGGATGGGGGGGGGAAGTGGAGGTTAACCCTTGCCCTTCCAGCAATTTTTCTGCCCCAAAATGCATTTCACCTCAGCTGATTTTCTCTCCACGAATCTTACCCCCTTCTCCTCATGGCTTGGAAGGTGGGTGAGGGAGTAAGGATTTCGATATCATGTGAACCTGGATCCTGGCAAAGGCTGCTTTGCGATACGATGGAAACACCCTCAAATGATTGGGAGAGAGAATCACACGACCGATCGTCTCACCTCATTTGCCTTTATGAGCGGAATTTCCTCCAGAATATTTTGATCATAAAAACTAGGTACTTCATCAACTTTAAGAAACCTAATTGGCTCTTTAATATTTTAAGGCTGTGATCTGCAATATAAAAATGTGAAATGGGGGGGGGGGAACCAATTCTGTGGCAGAACTCAAACATGCGGAGTGCTCGTCCCGGCTAAATTCCATGTCAAACTAGAGTCTGTCGCTCTCCCAGCTATTTATAGGATTGTTGGGTCTGGAAGTCTTGCCCGGTTTCCTGAAAAAGACAGATGGACAGTCGATATCAGAACAGTCACAAATTATTAATTCCAACCTCCAACCTGATTCCAACATCGTTGACTACTGTGCTACCATTGCGCGATGGCAATAATTTGCAACTGGATTTTCCCGTGTGCGGGTAAGACAATCTGGTAACAAATGGTTGCTCTTGCACAAAGACCAGGACAACTTCAAACAATGCGCAGATGCAGCCCCGCTAGACATTGACACCGCATGAAAGAGTAATTGAGCTCCATTGTGAATTTCCATTCACACTTTCCTAGCCATCGTTCACGCTCCCCTAGGAGCCTCTGGCTAGGGTTGCAACTGGTGGGAGGGATGCGGGTGAGGAATTTGGGGGGCGGGGGCACCATGCCGGATGTGGTGTTATGTCACTTTTGTTACAACCCAGGAAGTGTCATAGGGCAGCTCTAGGAATTCCCAGGAACTCTATGGTCCTGAGAATCTTTCAAATATAAATTCACCGTGCTGAGGGATCAGAAGATCATTTCAGTAGGCTAGCCACGTTGGTCTGCACCTAAGAGACCAATAAGGTTGCCCGGGTATAAGCTTTCAAGAGTCAGAGCTCATATACAAGTAGAAACTGAGATCCCGGAGCCCCTATCTCCCAGCGAGAAGAAGAGATTGGATTTATACCTCACCCTTCACTCGGAGTCTCAGAGCGGCTTACAAACTCCTTTCCTTTCCCCTCCCCACAACAGACACCCTGTGAGGTAGGTGGGGCTGAGAGAACTCTTTCCAGAACTGTCCTTGAGAGAACAGCTCTGACAGAGCTATGGCTTGCCCAAGATCATCCAGCCGGGTGCAAGTGGAGGAGTGGGGGAATCAAACCCGGTTCTCCCTTATTAGAGTCTGCGCACTTAGCCACTACACCAAACTGGAAGGTGGGAAGGATGTTGCAAAGATAATAATTAATAATTATCATATGGCAATTGTGTGCAGAAAAGTCAGAAGATCCTAAGATTGTCTGGCAGTCACAAGTTCTAGCTCTTAGCATTATGCACCACAAGGTGGCAAGCTAGACTTGTTTTTAGGGGCTGAGAGAGCTCTGAGAGAACTGTGACTGACCCAAGGCCACCCAGCTGGCTTCACATGGAGGAGTCGGGAATCGAACCCGGTTCTCCAGATTAGAGCCTGCCGCTCTTAACCACTACCCCAAACTGGCTCTCTGTTGCAAGGAAGGCAGTCAGGATGCAAAGGTACAATGCAAAGTGATTAGAGCAGGGGGCAGAAAAAGAGGATCATACATATTGCTGCCTAAAGTCTCACATACTGTGATTTTTCTTGTTGGGAAGGCAGGCTTAGGTCATTCGGGAAGGACCGCTCTGCGACGTCCCATGGCTCGGAAGAGTCGCCGAGGCCCCTTTGGCTTGCCTGATGGCTATTTCTGCATGGATGCTCCGTGGATTGCTCGCTCCCAGTCCCGCATTCTTAGGTTTCCTAACTGAAAGCAAAATTGCGTCACTGGCATTCTCCAATCTTAACCTTCTAGACTGGGGGAAGGAAGTCAATATAGGGAAGGTACACGTGCCACAGACAGAACAGCTACACTCGAATCCAGGAGTGACTTAGAGACTGGCGAGATTTTCTGGGTATGATCTTTTAAGGGTATGGCCCTCGAAATTCGTACCCCGAAAATCTCATCGATCTCTAAAGCGCTACTGTTCTCGAATCTAGCTGCTCTGTTGCAGGCCAAAGTGAGACACAGGGAGGGGAAAACAAACCTGACCCAAAAACTGGAATCAAGAACCACACGGGTAAGAAAGAAGTCAAAGACAGGGCCAGTATAAAAAACCTAGTTGAAAGTTATAATATACAAAAACACATGTATTTATTAGAAAGACAGTTGAAAACATAGAAGGGGCCCAATCAGGGGTCATTTGGGGGGGGACGCAGGGGGACGCCATCCCCCCGGGTGAGGTGCGGGAGGGCGGGGCCTGGAGCTCCCTGCTGGTGCCCGCTGGAGGTCGCTGCCGGCTGTGGGGAGGACACACTTCCGGTGATGTCAGGGGGTGTGGCATATGCTAATGAGTTATGCTAATGAGTCCCCCTAGCTCTTTTTCTACGAAATGACCCCTGGGCCCAATGAAAGCCTCGTAAACAAGTAAAGGTGGCCGAAGCACAGGGGCTGACACACATGACCTGACGCGTTTCCGCCCGATCAGGGCCTTCTTCAGAGGTCAAACAATATTGAGGTACACGTAACTATAATACATATTTCAATAAGATACCCAGTAAGTGAATAAGTGAATATTGGACCAAGAAAAGGAAGGTTAAACAGCAAGGACAACAGACACAAGACAAAGATGTTTGTGAGGCCTCAAAAGATGAAAGTCGTGCGTCTGGTGCCAAATGCGCAGCTGCTGAATTAGAACATCTTCCAATTTAGGTCCAAAAAGCACCTGTGTGGCTATCAAAGTCAGAGCTAGAGTGCCCTCAAGCAAAGAGCAGTCAAAAGTGACATCATGACTGCCATTTGCTTGAGAGCACTCTAGCTCTGAGATGAAGAAGAGGAAGAAGAGATTGGATCTATACTCCGCCCTTCACTACCCAAAGGAGTCTCAGAGCGGCTTACAAACTCCTTTCCCTCCCCCTCCCCACAACAGACACCCTGTGAGGCAGGTGGGGCCGAGAGAGCTCTTGACAGAAACGGCTCTTTTTCAAGGACAGCTCTTATCAGAACTATGGCTTGCCCAAGGTCATCCAGCAGGTGCAAGTGGAGGAGTGGGGAATCAAATCCGGTTCTCCCACATTAGAGTCCGCGCACTTAACCACTACACCAAACTGGCTCTCACACAGGTCCTTTTTTGGACCTAACTTGGAAGATGTTCTAATTCATCTGTATTTTTGTATATTATAAGTTTCAACTAGGTTTTTAATATTGGCCCTTCTTTCTTACCCTTGTGGTTCCTGTTGCAGGCCAACCCAGCTCCCTGCTGAAACCTGCCGTAGATAGTCAGCTGAGTCAGAATGCACCGCTTTCTATTCCACTTCTCCGCTCAGCAAAACGGGAAGCCTTACTCCACCCAAAGGAGCTCCTGTCCTTTTAGACACCACGTAATCCTTTTGAGCTGTGGTGGCTCAAGTGGTTTAAGACGCTGAACTGCAGGCTGTGGAAGGTCAGTAGATCAGCAGTTCGAGACCCGAGTGTGCCGCATGACGGAGTGAGCTCCCGTCTCTAGTTCCAGCTCCTGCCAACCGAGCAGTTCGAAAGCAAGAAATTGCAAGTAGATACATAGGTACCACCTCGGTGGGAAGGTAACAGCGTTCCGTGCGCCTTGGCGTTTAGTCATGCCGGCCACAAGACCACGGAAACGTCTGCAGACAGCGCTGGCTCTTCGGCTTGGAAACGGAGATGAGCGCCGCAACCCTAGAGTCGGACTCGACTGGCTTTCGAGCAAGGGAACCTTTACCTTTACTATCCTTTTTAAAGCTCCACCATTGTACAGTGACACATCTCTGAGGTGCTTTATGATATTATATTTTGTAGATTCTAGAGGCCCTTCAGTCTTCAGGCCTCCAATGAAAAGCAACCCCAAGCGCCAGAAGTCAGATAGGCTGTTTGGGGCACGCTCCTTTCCCTTTGTCTGTTCTTCCAAAGATACTGGCAACCAGTGTTCCCTCTAAGCTGAGTTAGTGTGAGCTAGCTCACCATTTCCTAGTCTCCGGCTGACACATTTTTTGTCTTCGCTCAGGAAGGAGGGCTCCAGAGCGACCTAATTGATGGAGCAGCCAAACCGCTCGCTCACAACTTTAACGCCAGCCGCTCACAAAATGGAATTTTTGCTCACAAGACTCCGCAGCTTAGAGGGGGCACTGCTGGCAACAGCGACCCACCTGGGACAGGACCATCTGCTCAGGATGTCCCAAAGTCCCACAATCCCCTAGGCTCAGAAGATGAGGGAAGTTCCTGGAAGATTTCTCTGAAGAGGGACAGGATAAGCTGGCTGGGCCCAAAGGTGGAGTGACAAGAGTAAAAACTGGGGAGGGGCCGTGGTTCAGCGGTAGAGCATGAGCTTGGCATGCAGAAGGTCCCCGGTTCGATCCCCTGCATCTCCGCTGGAAAGGCTCAGGTGGGAAGTGACTGCAAAGACCTCAGTCTCCCCCCCCCCCAACAATAAAACAGCTGTATTAAGCACAGTTGGAAGCTGGATGAGGGCTAAACAGGGTGTTTCTGTTGTAGCAGCTTGGGAGCAACTTTTAAGAGATGGTTTCAGCTTCTTTTCTTCAGTTCGAGACCCGAGTGTGCCGCATGACGGAGTGAGCTCCCGTCTCTAGTTCCAGCTCCTGCCAACCTAGCAGCTCGAAAGCAAGAAATTGCAAGTAGATAAATAGGTACCACTTCGGTGGGAAGGTAACAGCGTTCCGTGCGCCTTGGTGTTTAGTCATGCCGGCCACATGACCACGGAAACGTCTTCGGCCAGCGCTGGCTCTTTGGCTTTGAATCGGAGATGAGCACCGCAACCCTAGAGTCGGACTTGACTGGCTTTCGAGCAAGAGAACCTTTACCTTTACCTTTTTCAGTTTCTTAGTAGGTTACATATCTACTGTCTCCCCTTGAAGCTGGTCTCACTGCTGGAAATCTGAACATGCTGCTTTTCCTCCCTGTTTACAGAGCAAAGCATACACTCGTTTGGAGATGTTTTTCCATCAATCTCACAGAACTGGATTAGAGTTCCTTGGGCATCCAGGCAAGGCATACAGATTGCATTGGGGCTCGGAGTCCCCCTTCCCCGGAGGAAGCATCAACAATAGCCCTGACACCATCCACAGTAGTGGGACCGACCGTCCCATCTTCCTCCCGGGGCGCCACTGGCAGGAGGAGGAGCAGGAGGAGCGGGAAAGGCCAGCCCCGTCCTGGGGTGTTTGGGAGGCCCGTTAGAGCGCGTGAAGGAAGCCACGCCCACGCGGCTGCCACAGGAAGTGGTGGCGGCTACAAGCATGGACGGCTTCAAGAGGGAATTAGATAAGCATATGGAGCAGAGGCCCATCAGTGGCTATTAGCCACAAGGTATAGATAGGGGACTCTGGGGCAACTGATGCTCTGTCTTCTTGGCACTTGGGGGGGTCAACAGTGGGAGGGCTTCTAGTGTCCTGGCCCCACTGGTGGACCTCCTGATGGCACCTGGTATTTTTGGACACCTGTGTGACAGAGTGTTGGACTGGATGGGCCTTTGGCCTGATCCAACATTGGTGTCTCTTATGTTCTTATGACTCCCCCCCCCCCCCCCCCCCCCAATGCGTCCTGCACGTGCCGAAAGACTTCAGTCTGAGACCCTGGGGAGCCGCCGCCTATCTGAGTGGACAATACCGACCTTGATGGACCAAGAGTCAGTATAAGGCAGCTTCACGCGTGTTCAGCTAACGCATCCACCACCCAACACTGTCCGTTATCTTGGGAGAGGGGAATCCGCTCGGCAGGTGGCCCAGCCGGAGGCAATTCGACAGCATCACGAGGGAATCCCCCCCACACCCCAGAGAAATCTCTGGATCACTGGGAAAGCACTCTTCTACCTGAGCTAAAAAGACGGACCACGCTAGGCGTCCAACTCACTTTTGTTAGTCTCGTTCCCTGTCGCGTCGTCAACCGTCTGAGAGATGGCAAACTCCGGCCCATGTAAATGGTTGATGCCGGCCAGCAGGCCCAGGTTGGTTACCCTCATGGCACAAGGCTTTGGCACCATGCTCTGCAGTCCGGGAAACGCACAATCGATCGGCGAGTTTGCCACAGACAGGGCCTACGTGACGAGGAGAGGAGGCAAAAATAAGCAAGGTTCGTTACTTGCGTACGGAAATGTAACACAAAACAGAAGAAAGCAAACTCCTGCTCATCTAAGGGGCGATTAGCGCAAACCTAGGCTTGGGTGAGAAAAGAAGGAAGAAGAAGAAGGTTATGTACGCGGACTGCAACCAGGGGTCCGCGGCTAAAGCGGGAGCTTGGTCCCCAAACACAAAGGGGACCGAGGATCCTAGTCCACCAGGAGTCCACCAGTAGCACCCTTTGTCATGCCTGCCCTTGACTCAGCCCCAGAGCCAGCTCCTGACAGCCTAAGAGGGGAGGATTCAATGCCTTTAAGAGCTGAAGAAGCATCAGGCTCTGCACCTACTGTAAGTACTGAGGAGGATACACAGCAATCTGAGTCAACTACAGGACGGTTTGCACCTGGGATTGAGCAGGCCATAAGCAGCTCACCACCTGCATCTCCCCCACCTGTAAGTAGGCTTAGGGATCAGAGACGTCAGGAGCTGGCTAGCCGACGAAAAGAAGCACATTCAAGAGGGCGGAGATCCTTGAGCCCTGAGTTTTAACAGCAGCCAGGACCTCACACAAAGGTGCTAATGAGTTAATGGGCCAGAGCACTATTTAGTAGTGCCTCTGGCCATGAGCAATTTGTGCTGGCAACCTCGTTCGTAGAACCAGAAGCTCTGCACCTTGATTCCTGTTTGACTCTGTGGCTTTTGGACTCGGCTTGTGTTTGGACTGCTCTGGCTCCTGACTTCCAGCTGTTAACCTGACCACGCCCTCGGCTTTGCTCCCTGTACTCTGACCTCTGGTAACATTTGACTACGGCTTTGTCTGGTGTTTTGGGACTTGTTTAATGCTCTGCTGACTGCTCTCCCGGCTGACCTTTGGCTTTGTATTGTGACTCCCCCTGTCTGCCTGCCTCCCTGGCTCTACTGTGACACCCTTGGCGGGAGATTCAAACCTTCCAATAGGGACAGAGGTGTGCCAGGTGGAGTGTATATAGTTGGCCTTGCAGGGCCATTCTGTGTGTCTTGTTGTGAAGTACAATAAATGTGTCTGGATGCATGTTGTGGTCCGAGTCCTCCATGCGTCGAACCCAGTACTTTTCAAAGAAGAAGAAGGAGGAGGAGGAGGAAGAGATTGGATTTATACCCCGCCCTTCACTCGGAGTCTCAGAGCGGCTTACAAACTCCTTTCCCTTCCCCTCCCCACAACAGACACCCTGTGAGGTACGTGGGGCTGAGAGAGCTCTGACAGAAACTGCTCTTTTCCAAGAACAGCTGTGCCAGAACTATGGCTTGCCCAAGGTCATCCAGCAGGTGCAAGTGGAGGAGTGGGGAATCAAACCCTGTTCTCCCAGATTAGAGTCCGCACACAACTACTACACCCAACTGGCTCATGCCTAAAATGGCTGATGCCTCTCGCCTAAATGGGATGCTAAAGCCTTTCCTTGCTCAAAGGCATGGTCCAAGAAACGCAGGACACTGTAGTGTCAGGGGATGTGTTCTACCAGACCTTCGAGGAGCAGCAGGAAGTGAGATGCAGAGCTGCTATTTTTGGTGGCAGCCGTGAATCTATCATTATGCCTAGCTTGGCCCAAATGCCATGGGTTCTTTATGCCAGGGGCTTCTAAAACTTCCAAAACCTGGTCTATCCAGGCCGGGGCTGCTTTATACTGAACTGTTTACGTTCTCATGGCGTTTTACAAACTTTATTGACTTTTACTGACTGCTTACTGAATGGCTTCAAGAGGGAACTGGGTAAACAGGTGGAGCAGAGGTCCCTCCGTGGCTATGAGCCACAAGGTATAAGATGCTGAGCTGCAGACCGGAAGGTCCAATTTTCTAATTCTAATTCTTCAGTTATTTCACTCCACCAGCTGCTCCTTTTTCTTTCTTTGTATGTATTTATTGAGCCATCAAATCGCAGCTAACTCATGGTGACTCCGTGGGGTTTTCAGGGCAAGAGATGTCCAAGAGGTCATTTGTCGTTGCCCGCCTCTGCATAGTGACCCTGGGAATTCCTTGGCGGTCTCCCATCCAAGTAGTGATCACAGCTGACCTTGCTTGGCTTTTGAGATTTGATGAGATCAGACTCGCCTGGTCTATCCAAGTTGGGGCTGCTCTATACGGAACTGTTTCGATGCAACTGATTTTACTGACTTTTACTGATTGCTGAGGGTGAAAGAGGAGAGAGCACAAAAGTGGGCTTGAAACTCAACACCGAAAAAGCTAAGATCACGGCATCAGACCCCGTCACTCCTTGGCAAATAGAAGGGGAAGTCCTGGAAGCAGTGACAGAATTCACGTTCCCGGGATCCAAGGTCACTGCAGACGGTGACGGCAGCCGTGAAATTGAAAGACGCCTGCTCCTTGGGAGGAAAGCGATGGCGAACCTAAACAGCATGATGAAAAGTAGAGACATCACCCTGCCAACGAAAGTCCGCATGGTCAAAGCAATGGTATTCCCAGTAGTCATGTATGGCTGCGAAAGTTGGACTATAAGGAAGGCCGAGTGCCGAAGAATAGATGCTTTCGAACTATGGTGCTGGAGAAGACTCTTGAGAGTCCCTTGGACTGCAAGTAGATCAAATCAGTCAATCCTAAAAGAAATCAACCCTGACTGTTCCCTGGAAGGCCAGATAATGAAACTGAAGTTCAAATACTTTGGCCACCAAATGAGAAGGGAGCACTCCCTGGAGAAGACCCTGATGCTGGGAAAGATTGAAGGTCAAAGAAGGAAAGGACGACAAAGGATGAGATGGTTAGACAGTGTCATCGAGGCAAAGAACATGAAATTAAGCAAACTCCAGAGGACGGCAGAAGACAGGAGGGCCTGGCATGAGGTGGTCCAGGGGGTCGCGAAGAGTCAGTCTCGATTGTGCGACTGAACGACAGCAGCAGCAGCAACAACAAAAAACTGGTTTGACTTTTGATTTTGTAAAATGCCATGAGAACGTTTGTCAAGAGTGTAGTTTTAAAAACAAACAATCCTTTTAGTATGTGACTTACCTCCTTCTCCTACGATCGCTGTCGGTGAAGACTTTTTTGTTTGTTCTGACATTCCCTCAAGGATCCCTCCCTCCTGCCTTGTTTCAATTTGTTGCCCTCTGCTTTATACATGTATTTTAGCTCTTTTTAAAATCAGTTTTATGATGTCTTAATTGTCCTTTAAGCGTTTTTAATGGTGTTTTAATGATGCATTTTATTATGCTGTTTTAATTCTTAGGCACATTGGTGGCCCTGATTGGGCAGAACGGCAAGATGTAAAGGTTGTTGATACATAAATAAAAACAAATACATAAACTATTATGGCTGGAAGGAGGAGGAGGAAGGAGGAGGAGGAGGAGGAGATTGGATTTATACCCCGCCCTTCACTTGGAGTCTCAGAGCGGCTTACAAACTCCTCCCCCTCCCCACAACGGACACCCTGTGAGGTAGGCGGGGCTGAGAGAGCTCTTTGGAGGACTGCCCTTGAGAGAACAGCTCCGAGAAAACTTATGACTGACCCAAGGTCACACCAGCAGCTGCATGTGGAGGAGAACACTTTCTTGGAAGTAAACAGTGCACTACTGAATGAAATGGGACTGCCTTCTGAGTAGACCTATTTTGGACTGCTCCCTACATCTTGCAGAGCCTATGGGTGGATGGAGTGCAGCCTTGTCAGTTGTGACCCGATGCTGTGGCCCATGTGGCGGCCCTGTATCTCCCCCCCCCAATCTTTTTAGGAAAAAATTGTCTAATGTGCCTGTTATAAAGCCAGATGTTGTTGTATTTAGATGCTTCTAAATAGTGGAAGCCAATAAGGTGCTAATCCAGTCACTTTCTTCTGCGGGAAAGTTCTTGTGCAGCTTAATACCTCAAGGCATTATCTTTCCCAAAAAAGGCACTTAGGGAAGACGGGCTTGGATGTCACGGAGGGAAGCAGAGGGGGCCTTCTGTTGTTCCACTCCAGTGGCCTAACGTGATAATGCCTCAGTTCTGTTCTGCCCAACGAGGTAGAACAACTCGAGCGAGGCCTCCTCTCTGAAACACAGACCCCCCCTTGCCGAGAGAGCCCTCCGCAAGCTCCCCTCCCCGTGGCTGCGCTAACACGGCCGTGTCTTTTATTTTTTAAGTGATGTCCGACGTACGGAAGCACGGGTCAGTTTGGAAATAAAGCGCTGGCGACACGCAGATGCTCAATCCGCGAGCACTCAGGAGCCTTGTATACAAAGCACTGCGTCTTCAGGTGGTGAAGGGAAAAAAGGCATCCGTTTTGTGTGGCAACCCGCTGAGGGGTTGACAGGAAGGACTGCCTCAGCCAATGTAAACACGCCAAGACTTTTAACTCAATGTGTGTCTGCTTCACGCACATCGCGAACGGGTACGCTTTTCTCTCCGGCTATTCCTCCGAGGAGTCGATGTGGTTCTCCCTTTCCCATTTTATTCTCACAACCATCCTGTGAGGAAGATCAGGGAAGATCAGGACTCACATGGGGGCCGACCAGTGAGACTGGAGGGCCAACAACAGGGCATAGAGGCCGAGGCCCTCATTGGAACATCCAAAGAGCCCTGCTGGATCAGACCAGTGGTCCATCCAGTCCAGCATCCTGTCTCACGCAGGGGCCAACCAGTTCCTCTGGAGGGTCAACGACAGGGCAGAGAGGCCAAGGCCTTCCCCTGATGTTGCCTCCTGGCCTGGGATTCAGAGGGTTTTCTGTCTCTGAATGTGGAGTTCCCCTCAGCCACCAGGGCTAGTAGCCATTGATAGATTATCCTCCATGAAACGGTGCTCATCTCCGTTTCAAAGCCGAAGAGCCAGCGCTGTCCGAAGACGTTTCCGTGGTCATGTGGCCGGCATGACTAAACACCAAGGCGCACGGAACGCTGTTACCTTCCCACCGAAGTGGTACCTATTTATCTACTTGCAATTTCTTGCTTTCGAACTGCTCGGTTGGCAGGAGCTGGAACTAGAGACGGGAGCTCACTCCGTCTTGCGGCAACCCGGGTCTCAAACTGCTGAACTACCGACCTCCCACAGCCTGCAGTTCAGCGTCTTAACATCTGACGTTTATTCTACATGGCTCTTGCATTAAGCAAGTTTGGCCACCCCTGCCCTGGCGGGTTTCCAAGGCAAGAGACAAACAGAGCGACCCCAGGTGGTCTCCCATCCAAGTACCGACAACGGCTGACCCTGCTTAGCTTCCAAGACCAGATAAGGCCAGGCTAGCTTCAGCTGTCCGGGTAAGGGCTGCCTTAACAGAAAACTGCAACAAACACACAGGAAACACGGCAAGGTTGAGCAAAGGTAGAAAAACACCGTGTTAGAACAAAACGCACAATACTGTTATGCTACTATATCTATATATCTAATACTGAAGTCGCCCCCTGCGTGCGGATACTTATTTCCGCACATTGGGGGCACCTGGGGGGGAAGGAGATGTTTGTGCACACTTGGAGCAGTCCCCAGGTGTGCCCAAAAACTGAAACCTGTAAAAAAATATCGGGGGGATAACCCCCCAAAAGTGACAGAGCGTCCCCTGTGCATGCGCAGGGAACGCTCTGCACCCGGCCTCGCCGCCGCTTTGGAGCCAGGGGGGGGGGCCAGCGAGGCCCGGGCGGCTGCCACCGGCCCTCGCTTCCAAGCCACGGGGGGGGGGGACTGCAAGCCGATAGCCCTCGCTTCGGGGCAGGGGGGGGAGATTGGGCCGGGGGGAGGAGGAGACGGGGGAAACCGGCGGAATGGGGGGGGGAACTTACCTCCTCCTCCTGCTTCCTCCTCTTCCTCATAGGTGTGGAGCTCCCTCCCCCCCCTCCCGCGAGTATCGCGGGTCCCGCCCCTTGTCTTCATATATTGATAAAAATAATATACTTGAAACGTGCGTCTTCAGAGCAGGCCAGTTTTCTGTTAAGGCAAAACACACAATACTATTACGCTACTATATCTGCGGTGGCTCAAGTGGTTAAGACACTGAACTGCAGGCTGTGGACGGTTGGTAGTTCAGCAGTTCGAGACCCGAGTGTGCCGCTTGACGGAGTGAGCTCCCGTCTCTGGCCTCAGCGCCTGCCAAAGTAGCAGTTCGAAAGCAAGAAATTGCAAGGAGATAAATAGGTACCACTTCGGTGGGAAGGTAACAGCGTTCCGTGCGCCTTGATGTTTAGTCACGCCGGCCACATGACCACGGAAATGTCTTCGGACAGCGCTGGCTCTTCGGCTTGGAAACGGAGATGAGCACCGCAACCCTAGAGTCGGACTCGACTGGCTTTCGAGCAAGGGAACCTTTACCTTTTTTACTATATCTTCATATATTGATATAAATAATATACTTGAATACAATAGAGACCCTAGCGTATCTTATTCCTTGTAGTACAAAAACTCAGGGCTATTTTTGGGCAGGAACGCACAGGAACAGAGTTCCGGCTGGCTTCAGAGTTGGCAACGCCCACTACAGCCAAAACCTCTGCATGCGTGGCTATAGAGGGAAGGCCTGGAGAGCGCCGCCCCCCTGGAGACTGCCTTCCCTTCCCTTCATGGGGGGGGGGCTTGCCGGGCTCCCAGCAGCTGGAGGGTACCCGGCAAGCCAAGGGAAGGCATGGGGGTGTGGCCTAATATGCTAATGAGGTCCTGCTGTTGGGTGTGGCCTATTATGCTACTGAGTTCCTGCTGGGCTTTTTCTACCAAAAAAGCCCTGCAAAAACCTAAAGAACATTATATATCTAGTAGAAATGTCCACAGCCACAGAGTCAGGTTGCAGTGCTGTAGACTCTCTTGCTTCTGGTGAGAGACTGAGGAAAGATGCATCTTTAGGTTTTTGTACTACAATGAATAAGATACACGAGGGTCCCTATTCAAGTATATCATTTATATCAGTATATGGAGATATACTTGAGCTGCGGTGGCTCAAGTGGATAAGACGCTGAACTGCAGGCTGTGGAAGGTCAGTAGTTCAACAGTTCGAGACCTGAGTGTGCCGCATGACGGAGTGAGCTCCCATCTCTAGTTCCAGCTCCTGCCAACCTAGCAGTTCGAAAGCAAGAAATTGCAAGTAGATAAATACGTACCACTTCGGTGGGAAGGTAACAGCGTTTCGTGCGCCTTGGTGTTTAGTCATGCCGGCCACATGACCACGGAAAACGTCTTCGGACAGCGCTGGCTCTTCGGCTTGGAAACGGAGATGAGCACCTCAACCCTAGAGTCGGACTCGACTGGCTTTCGAGCAAGGGAACCTTTACCTTTTATGGAGATATAGTAGCGTAATACTATTGTGTGTTTTGCCTCTACGGAGAGCTGGCCTGCTCCTAAGACGCATGTCCAAGAGCATACTGGATCCCAAGGAGGAAGAAACGGAAAAGAACACGTGCAGGCAAGGATTGCTGGGATCTGTCCCACCCGCCCCTCCCCACAACGGGACGAGGCCTGTACAGCTGTTAATTGTATTACATGAGCTTTACTTGCTGTTCCAATAAATGGATTTCGGCTCTCGCCCTCTCTTCCGAGCTGATCGTTACGCCATCCAAGACCTGGAGGCTGGGCAGGCGGACCACCAGTAGGGGGCGGTGGCAGATCTTGCGGGACACCTGGAGGGCGGGGAGGGAGAGGAGAGAGAGAGAGAGAGAATCACAGAGGAGCTCCAGAGTGAATTATTGAGCTCTTTTTTTCGCATCCCTTATGGAGGTTCAAGTCCAGACCCTACAAAAGGTGGCGGTCAATTGAGAAGGAGGTGGAACAGGTCTGAGGGCAGCAGGTGAACTTGCGGGAGGATCATCAGGGGAAAACTCAAGAGAATAAGGTTTCAGCTGCTCTCTCCGATGGCCACGTTTGCAGTCACTTATCTTTAATTTTTTTTAATCTTTCAATTTATTGATCGCTCAATCCTGCAGAGCTTGCTGGCTCCGAGCGATTTACAGTTACTCATTTTTCACGAGGGACTAACAATGCAATGTGGGGTAAGGGACGACAACATATCTACATCTTAAATTGCACACATTCACAGCCGATGAGGGTTTCGTTCAGATGCAGATGAGACGTGATCCGGAACGGCATTTTTCTCGGCCAAGTTTGATGGCGTCAGCTTTCTCCAGACTCCTTGAGTTGTAGCGCCACACTGCCATCGCCTGGCTGGACGGCCCATTACATGCTTTATCTTAACGCCGAGGAGATCTCTCTAGGCTTTCCATCATGCGAGCTGGACTTCCGTTCGCCGGCTAACACCACTCCACCCCACGAGGGGGGGGTTCAGTGTGCCCGCTCTCTCTAAGGAGTGGTACCCATTTTATCTACTCGCCGAAGCTTTCGAACCGCTGGGTAGATGGCGAGCTGGGGACAAGGCTGGCAGCTCACACCAGCGCGGGGCTAGAACTGACAGCAAGCCTGTTCAGCTCAGATGTTACTATGTTAACCAGAGGATAAATCCTCTGTGCCACCGCTCCCCCCTTTAGATTATGGGGGCCATGGGGAAAGGCGCTCTGCCTGCACACGCTAACAGGCACTCTCGTCCATTGTAACATCACAAGAAGGGGAGCCATGGAGGAGGTGAAAATCCCATCCCCGTTTGTGGGCCCCCGCTTCCTCTCCTCTTATTTATTTAGAATACTTATGTACCCCTGCCGTTCCCCTGACATAGTCAGGGCCAAAGAAGGGTGAGAACAATCAAGAAGAGAAGAAGAGATTGGATTCCTACTTCGCCTTTCGCTACCCAAAGGAGTCTCAGAGCGCCTTACAATCCCTTTCCCTTCCCCTCCCCACAACAGACACCCTGTGAGGGTGCAGAGCTCTTCTTACAGGGGCTACTATAAGCTCTTGGAGGATTGGCTACATTAGGGGTGTGTCGCCTAATATGCAAAGGAGTTCCTGCTACAAAAAGAGCAAGTTATGTGTAATCTTGGGGGTGGGTGGGGGGAATACTCACTGGGTTTCCATATATTGACAGCTCTTTAAGGCAAGGAAGACAGTCAAGTCTTTCAAGTTCCGACAGCTCCTGTCCCAAGATAAAAACAACAACAACACAAATATAAGAACTTGGTGAAATTTGCCAGCAAAATTATTACCTGCAGGGACTTATTCTAGGGAGTTCTTCCGGGATCACTGAGGGCTCATTTTATTTCAATATTTACATGTGTACTTTGGAGTATGAAAGAAACACAGGCTTGCCAAGTATGGTTTGGGAAATTATTTGGAGATCTGGGGAGGGCAGAGTTCAGAGGGGAGAGGAAGCTCAGTGGGAAATGCGATGTCTTGGAGTTCCGTTTCCAAAAGGGTGACTGATCTTTGCAGTCCGAAGATGAGTCGTAATGACAGGAGCATTCCAGGATCACCTGGCGGCTGGCAACCTTAAACAGACCCAGGAAATTGCTTTCATTTATAGGGGGTATTTGTTTTTCGCACGCTCTATCCCCAAACGGATGCTTGGCACACTTCTCAGCATGAACTGAAGGGCCAGCTCATGGGTCTAGAGGGGCGTCTTTTTCTCTTTGGGTTAGGAATAGGCCTCCTCCATGTACCTGCCAGGAATAGGGAACTCCCAGCCCCCCAGCCTCGATTTCCTGCTCCTGGGGAACTGAGGAGTGGGAGACAAAATGGCCTCAACGTAGTGACACTCTAGGATTTCTCCCTGGTCTCTATGGTAAAGACGACAGAGACTAGGGGAGGCAAGCCTAGAGCATCACATGGAAGTGACATCATATTCTGCCCTCCCCAGACATTGTCCCCCCCCCCGGATTTCGTGGCATTCGTCAAGGCAGTGGTGAGGAAATGCATCTCCCAAGTTGGAAGTAGTGGATTCACGTGCCACATCCAACTCTGAGCAGGAAAGGGACAGCTGTAGGGAACAGTGAATGTGGCCCATGAAGTGACCTTCTGGTCCACTCCATAGTTATGGTTTTGAAGCCCAAGGCGGTTGACCTTTCCAGCAGGTAATTTCCAGTTGCTCCTCCACTGGTTCTGCTCTTTCTTGACCTGGAAGTGACATCTCAGCCTCCCCAAATTCTGCCATCTCCAGGCACTGCCCCCCCCCCCATCTCCTGGCATTTGAAACTATCAGAAGTGGAGGACTTGGAGCTGTCTCCTGTCTCAAACTTGAGAAGACGGCACCAAGGAGTTTAGACAGAAAGAGAGGTCAGGACACACAGAGCATCCTTTCCTTCCTGTTATCTGATCATTTCCTTTGAAGCAGAACACTACTCTCAGGGGCAATTCCCTCTGCTTCTGCTCTCACACTCTCTCTTCTCTCTCACGCCCACACAAAAGAAGGTGCATGATCTCTCCACCTTGCACCATGGAGGCTGGACATGCGTCCAGCATCCGACACCATCTTAGTTAGCTAGAGTAGGTGATGGAGGAGGAGGAGGAGGAGGAGGAGATTGGATTTATACCCTGCCCTTCACTTGGAGTCTCAGAGAGGCTTACAAACTCCTTTCCCTTCCCCTCCCCACGACAGACACCCCTGTGAGGTGGGGTGGGGCTGAGAGAGCTCTTGCCAGAAACGGCTCTTTTTTCAAGGACAGCTGTGCCAGAGCTTGTGACTGACCCAAGGTCACATCAGAAGAAGAAGAAGAAGAAGAGATTGGATTTATACCCCGCCCTTCACTTGGAGTCTCAGAGCGGCTTACAACCTCCTCTCCCTTCCCCCCCCCACAACAGACACCCTGTGAGGTGGGTGGGGCTGAGAGAACTCTGACACAAACTGCTCTTTTTCAAGGACAGCTGTGCCAGAGCTTGTGACTGACCCAAGGTCACATCAGCAGGTGCAAGTGGAGGAGTGGGGAATCAAACCCGGTTCTCCCAGATTAGAGTCCGCACACTTAACCACGACACCAAACTGGCTCTGATCTATATCGATCTCTTATCTGCACTCTCCAGCATGTATTTCCTTTAATAAAAGTTGCTTATTAGCTTTAGAACCGACTGGCTGACTCCGTGTCACTTTGTAAGTCTGTTGCCACACCTAGTCCCAGCTCCGCTGCGTTAAAGCCTTTGAGCACTCCGCTATAATTCCGTGGTTCCCTGGCAGTACCAAGTCCAGAGAATCCAACAGAAACAAGACCCTTTGCAAGAGCAGCCAGAAGACCAGAGTAGAGATGTGAAGGCCCAGAAAAAAAACGGGAAAACATGGGGGGGGGGGAACGTTTTTTTTTCCTGAAGCCTTTTTTGCTTTTTTCCCCAAAAATTGGAAAAAATGAAAAAAGAAAAGAAATTGATTATGGAACAAAATAAAATATTTTAAGACAAGGTGTTCAAATATTTTCCAAATCATTTCTAAAAAATATGTATGGTATCCGATTGATCTAATTTTTTCCAATTGAAATTGAAAAAAGAAAAGAAATTGATTATGGAACAAAATAAAATATTTTAAGACAAGGTGTTCAAATATTTTCCAAATCATTTCTAAAAATATATGTATGGTATCAGATTGATCTAATTTCTGTGCACTGAGGACAAGCAAGTCCTAGGTAACAAACTGAACTCTCCAATGCAAGAACATTTCTTCCTTTAGGAGGTGCTATTGTCACAAGAAAAGAAAAAGGTTTTTGCATGTGGGTCTGTATTCTGTTTGTAATAATTGTTTGGATACACTATATTTGTAATGTGCTAGTTGTGATAATTTCATGCCAAGTAAAAATGTCCATAGTCATATTTTATGTTCCTAAAGTAACAGAATGACTTTCAATCTGGAAAAGAAAAAAGAAGTGCTAATGTAGCATTTTTTTTCCAATTTTTCCGAAAATATCCATTTCCCCCTTGGAAAAAAACGGGGGGAAACCGGGTTTTTTCCCGAGCTTCAACATTTCCGGAAATTTTACATCTCTAGACCAGAGTGAAGAGCAGGAGGGGTTTTTTTGCATCGAGAGCGTTAGATTCACCATACCTGGATTTTATTAAGACCCAGGAAAAGCTTCTGTAGCTTCACCAAGGACTGCAAGTGGTTCACTTCGCGCAGACGGTTCTCCTCCAGGTGAAGAGCCAGCAGGGAGTTCTGCTTGGCAAAGGAGTTCTCGCCGATCGTCTTGACCCGGTTGTGATCCAGCACCAGCTCCTGCAGAAGGTGTAGGCCCTCGAGCCCTTCGATCTGGCTGATTTCGTTGCCTGGTGGACCGATAAAAAAGATCTGTGTGTGTATGCGTCTGTTAATGCATTCTAAGATTGCATTAGGACCCCGCTTAGCTTCCGAGATCTGACCAGATCGGGCTCGCCTGGGCTACCCAGGTCAGGGCTTGGTCCTTCTTCACTTACCTTGTAAAAAGAGGAACTTCAGGTTTCTGAGCCTGCTGATCTGCAGGAGGGCCAAGCTGGTGATTCCGTTGTAGCCCAAATGAAGGACTTCTAAGCTCTGCATTATCGGTGGGAGGCTCTCGCTCAGTCCCCCGTCCCTGAAGCAAAAGAGGGGCTTGGTCAGTGGGCGGGACTTGGCAATAAAACAAAAAACCCAACTTCAAGGATAGGCTGATGGGGGACTGAACTTGCTGAGGCTGAGAGGGGGAAAGATCTCGGGGTCAATGAGAGTGTCAGCCCCGTGTGCTGCAGCGGTGAAAAAGGCAAATTCTATGTTAGGGATTATCAGGGCTTTTTTTTTGTAGAAAAAGCCCAGCAGGAACTCATTAGCATAATAGGCCACGCCCAACAGCAGAAACTCATTAGCATATTAGGCCACACCCCTGACAGCACAGCTCATTGGCATATTAGGCCACACCCCCATGTTACCAGAAGTGTGCTCATCCAGCCACATCCACCTTTTGCTTCTTATTCTGTTTACCTTGTTTGTTGTCAAAACCCAGGGCTTTTTTGTAGCAGGAACTCCTTTGCATGTTAGGCCACACACCCCTAATGTAGCCAATCCTAATGAGTTTCTGCTGTTGGGTGTGGCCTATTATGCTAATGAGTTCCTGCTGGGCGTGGCCAACTTGGGAGCCAGCCGGAACTCTGTTCCTGTGCGTTCCTGCCTAAAAATAGCCCTGAGATTATTAGGGAAGAGATTGAGAATAAAACAGCCAATATCGTAATGCCCCGACTATAGATCTATGGTGCAGTCTAATTTGGAATCCTGTGTACAGTTCTGGTCACCGTATCTCAAAAAAAGGACATCGCAGAGCTTGGAAGATAACAGAGGACGGCAACCAAGACGATTAGGGGGTTGAAGCACCTCCCCTAGGAGGAAAGGGTAAAGAGACTGGGACTTTTCAATTCGGAAAGGAGACGACTAAGGCGGGACATGATAGAGGTTTAAAAAATTATGCAGGGGGTAGAGAGAGTTGGCAAACAGAGCTTTTTCTCCCTCTCCTAAAATGCTAGAACTCGGGGGCGTCCAATGAAGCTGATGGGCAGTAGGCTCAGGACGGACAAAAGGAAATACTACTTTACACAGAGAGTGATTGAAATGTGTGATTCGCTGCCAGGGGATGTCGTGATGGCCACAAGAATGAACAGCTAGAAAAAGAGATTTAGATGGAGGATAAGTCTGTCAGTGGCTACTAGCCATGGTGGCTGAGTGGAACTTCCACATTCAGAGGCACTAATCCCCTGAATCACAGAGCCGGGAGGCAACATTAGGGGAAGGCCTTTATACCCTGTTCTTGGCTGTCCAGAGGAACTGGTTGGCCACTGTGTGAGACAGGGTGCTGGACTAGGTGGACCACTGGTCTGATCCAGCAGGGCTCTTCTTGTGATCTTATGTCATGTGCAAAAGAAAACTTTTTGTCAGAACTTGAGTACTAAAAGGAATGGGGGGG